GTTTCCATTAAAAATTTAAATTATCCTGGGGTGCCTGGGTGGCTCAGTCAGTTACACGTCCGACTTCGGCTCAGGTCATGATCTCGAGGCTCACAAGGTTGAGCCCCGTGTCAGGCTCTGTGCTAACAGCTCAGAGACTGGAGCCTGTTTCAGATTCTGTGTCTCCTTCTCTCTGCCCCTTCCCCTGCTCCCACTCGGTTTCTCTCTCTCTCTCAAAAATCAACATTTCAAAATTTTTACAAAAAATGTTACATTTTCCCATAGTATCCCTGTGAGCTTGCTGCAGCTCCTTAGCGGTACCTTGACAAAGTCTGGGAATCACGGATACAGAATGTTTCTATTACCTCCCCCCGCAAAGATGGCTATCTGACATCTCTCTCTTTTTTTCAATATCCCAGTATTTTCCTTTTCCTTTACAGGACTATCCCTCCCTCATTCTTATTTCATATAGTTTGAGTGGCCCTCCTTCCAGACTTGGTCTCCAGGGGTAGACAAGTAACCAAGACCCAGCCAATCAGTGCCACTGTGACTGGCTAAGCAAGGATTAGTCATGTGACCCACATCAGGCCAATGAGAGCTGGCCCTGGCACTCCGGCTAGAATTACCAGGGAAAAGATACTCTGTTTCTGCCAGGTTTGCCAAGCTGGTAGATGTAAGCCTGGGGCTGGCAGGGCACATCTCTGCCACAGCATGAGAGAGACTGCCTGAGTATAAAGCTCATATAGAAGAAACAGAGACACACACATAGGGACATCATCGGAGCTCCTGGATCTAGCCTTGCCTGGAGCCATCTGTTACTGGACTTCCCAACACATGATAACCCAGTAAACTCCCTTCTTTTGGCTTAAAGCCAGTTGAATGGGGTTTCTGTCACTTGCAACTAAGAATCCTAAAGCATTACGTTAAAGTACTTTACAAATGAAATGAGGCCCCACCAGTTCAAAGTTTCTTTCCAGAGCCAAGGGTCTCCACTGTGTTAGGAACCCAAAAAATATCTGAGGTACACAGCAGACCTGGGTTCAAATTCCAAAATTCCATGACTTTCAAGTTACTTACCATCATTTAGCCTCAGTATAAAGCAGGGTTGTCATTTAGATTAAATGGAATAATCCATATAGCATAGAGTTAGCTCTGACTGTTATTATTATTGGCTGTCTTTGTTTTGTTGATAAAGAAACTCAAGTCCAGAGAGGTGGCTTGCTGAAGGTCAGAGACTAGACACTGGCAGGGCTCCAGCCTAAACCCAGGCAATGTGGCCCCTTGTTCTAAGGTTCTTGCCACACAACCCACTTCTAAAGAAAAAGACCCATAAGGCAATGAAAGTGGGAAGAGAAACAAAAGTCTACAAAAGAGTACCCAGAGCTCAGACCTGCCTTAGGTAGTGGTTAAGAGTATAGACTCTGATGGGGTGCCTGAGTGGCTTAGTCGGTTAAGCGTCCGACTTCGGCTCAGGGAATGATCTCACAGTTTGTGTGTTCGTGCCCTGCATCAGGCTCTGTGCTAACAGCTCAGAGCCTGGAGCCTGCTTGGGATTCTGTGTCTCCCTCTTTCTCTGCCCCTCCCCCACTCATACCCCCCCCACCAAAAAAAACAATTAAAAAAAAAACACTTTTAAAAAAAGAGTATAGACTCTGATATTCAGCAGCCTGGGTCTGATTCCTGACTCCAATACTTACAAGACATGTGACTTTGGGTATATGATTTTCCCTCTGTAAAATGGGATAAAAGGATCTAGTTCATAGGGCTTTGATAAAATAATACTGACCTTCCTGCATCTAGGCCTCTCACATGTCTGTTCTATACATAGCAGCCAGAGGGATGCCCATTTCATTGGTGGAAAAATCTTTATGGTGGCCAATCAGGCCCCTGCATTTCTGTGAGGTCAGGTTTAGGGAAAGGCCTCTTCAGGCCACCTCCTTCCTGGATGGGGAAGGATGAGGTCAGGTTTCCAGTGATGCAAGACAGGAAATGCTTATTAAATCACCTGCCATGGTGTCTGTAAGTGACCTTCTGTGGTCACACCACAGGCCACAGGGCCAAACATATTGGTCTCAGACCAATGCTCAATTCACCAGCATGGCTGAAACCCTAACGAGCCAAAAACAAAGTCCCCATGCCACTTGACTTTGCCCCTGAGTCTAGTGAGGCCCTGGCAGAGGCAAATCACAGTCAAAGGAAAACAGATCCTTTCCTCTAGAAAGTCCCAGAGATGAAAACTTTTTTTTTTTTAGTTGGGGAGGGGTAATTCCAACAACCTTTCAAATCCTCTGGGGTCTGACAAATAGGTTTTCTCTTTCTTCATTTGAAAAAGGGAGGGAGATTTGGGCTCTGCGCCTGCTTGGGATTCTCCCTCCCTCTCCCTCAAAATACATAAATAAACTTAAAAAAAATACAACTGAAAAAGGGAGGGAGAGGTGAAACACAGAAACATTAGCTATGACCCCAAGAAAGACAGAATCAGAGAGATACAAACATGAAACCCCCAAATTCCAGATTCTGAGGTAAATATAGGAAAATTAAGATAGGAATTTTCTGGTTAAAAAAAGATATATGTATCTTTTCTTTCTAGTTCCAATCTGTCCACCTGCCTACCTGTTGTGACCTCCTTGCTCCTCAATGTCTCATATCTGAGGGTCTGTCCAGCTTATACATAATGACAATATACACCCTACTTATTTTTTTTTAAAGATACTTTCCCCTTTATTTTTGTTTTAATGTTCATTTTTGAGAAAGAGAGAGAGAGAGAAGAGTGAGCAGGGAAGGGGCAGGGAGAGAGAGGGAGACACAGAATCCAAGGCAGGCTCCAGGCTCTGAACTGTCAGCACAAAGCCCCACGCAGGGCTTGAACCCACAAACTGTGAGATCATGACCTGAACCAAAGTTGAATACCCAACTGACCAAGCCACCCAGGTGCTCCTACTTCTATACACATATCCCCGAGACTTTCATCTCAGGAGTTCAAAGCTCTCACGTTCATTATGGGGGATGTGTAGGTAAGGAGAGAGAGAGAGGACTCCCAGCATAGACATCAGAACTAAGCATTTAGAGTACTAAGTTCTAATACCAGCTTTACCACTTAAAGAGCTGTGTGACCCCAGTTGAATCCATTAGCATTCCCAAGCTTCAGCTTCCTCATCTGTAAACTGAAGATATAGACAGTGCTTTTGCTCTAGTCTATGACCTTGACCCATACCACTGGAGACTCTGGCTTTCCATCCATCATTGACCTCTGACCCAGAACTGGTTCACCAAAGCCTGAGGCCAGTAAAATCCCTCTTCCCCAAAGGTCCAGTCGATTCCAGTTCCTCCACTGCTGAAGGACTGAGTAGGCGACATCACAGCTTCCCCTTATACAATTCTTGCTGTGCACCACGGGACAAAATCCAGAATTCCCAACTCCTCTGTCTCTCACACAACTGAACCCCAACGATACCAAGTAAGAACCCAACAACAAGTCAAACATCTCCTTTACAAGCTCTGCCTGCCAAGACTAGTTATCTAATTGCTGTTGATTGCATTAATTGCATGGATCTGAAGTGTTCAGACAACTCCTCCTCCTAGCGTAAGGCAGGGCAAGGGAAAGGAATTCATGAACAAAACCTCCACATGGCGAAATTCTTCTCCCACTCCCAACCCTAACACCCCTTCCATGGCTCCGCAGCTGACCGTGACCTGAGAGCCCAGTAGCACAAAGTATTAAGAAGCAGCTGAATCTTCTCCATGGGACCAGAGCTAGAAAGTTCCACTGGGAACAGTGTGGGCCCCAAGCCCTGGACCTGAAGGAGAGGGCACCACCCCACGCATGCAGCACAGGCCAAGAACGGAATACTGGTTCTGGATACTCTATCCTCTGCTCCTGCCTGAAACAGAGCCCCCTGTCGCCTTCCTGCTCAGTCTCTCCAGCGCCCTTCTTTACACATCGGGGCCTCCTGCCACATGTCTAGGAGACCCATCACAGACAATCACCTCTCCCCTCCTCTAGACACTGTAAGAGGCCAACCAACTGCAAACAAGAGCAAATGTACAGGGAAAATGTCACTGCTCCAGAACAGGAAGAAGTGGGGTGGGGCTGTGCAATGTGATTTCAGGCAAACAGAACCCAACTCCAGAGAAGCACTTGGAGAGGAAAAAGTCCCATCTCTAAAAGTGGTCCGGGAGTCCCTCTTGGCCAACCCCAAGGTTTCAAATGAGGTTTCTCTGGTCACCTCAGTAGGTAGCTGAGACCTCTTGGAACCTCCTTTGGATTAACTCCTCCTGCCAGGCCCCCACTGGGGCAATCCCATTCTCTCAAGGGGCCTCGCTTACATCTGCCCTCACCCCACCCCGGGTAAGGTTCTGGGCCCGATGGGTGAGGGCCCGGAGCAGCCCATCACTGAGGGAGGCACCCCAGCTGTGAGAACTGACAGATGTCATCCACAACGCCACACTCAGCCTGCAGCAGCGACAGAGAGGAGGGCACGACACCGGAGCCCCAAAGAAGCATGACAGGGGTCCCTAATCCCTGGGCAAAGCCTAGAGGTTCAAGGTGAACACCTCCCAAGCACATCTCTCAAAATGCTGCCGCGGAAGAGAGGGCTGCCCCGCCAGAAGAGAGGAAGTGGGGTTAGGAGAGACCCCTGCGGAGGTGGGGGCTGGGCTGTTCTCTGAGTCCCAGTACGCACCTGTGCCCTCAGGCTTCCCTCACATGACACACCTGGAACTCCCCCTCAGAGACCACAGGGCAACTTTCTGCAGAGAAGGCGATGCGCCGGAGCAAAGAGCCGGTGCGAAGGCGGGATAATGGGGGGCTACGACCGGGCGCCCCAAGTGGATAAAGAACTGAAGTGCTGGAACATAGGAGAGTGCTGGCCCACGCGGACCACCAACCCCCAGGGCCTACCAGGGGCACCCCCCCCACCCCGGGACCCTCACGGTCCCCACCGCCCCGGCTAGGGAGGCAGGAAGGGGAAGGCATTGCACCGCAGGTAGCAGAGTTGCCCGACCAGGTAGCCCGGCCCTACCTGCAGTTCCTGAAATTCTCCCTCCAGCTCATGCCACTCGCGCTCGCAACGCTCCAGCTGGCCGGACATGGTGCGGCGGTGCGAGGCGGCGGCTTCCGCAGCGTGGCGCGGCTGGCCACCAGCACCACAGCCCGTCCGCTCGCCGGCCGCCTTCGGAGTCACCAGCTGTTCCTGCGCAGCCGGAGCCACGCGCGCACCTGACGTCACAGCCCCCGCCCCAGCGGCCGCCCCACCCCCTCGCCGGAGAGGCAGGCCCGGCGCATGCGCACGCGCCTCCCCGGGCTCCGCCCCCGCGCGCCGACGTGGGGAGCGCTGTAGTTTTGCAGGTCTTGGCAGGGTCTTTTGCTGCCCCCTTGAGAATGCTTCTGCGTTTCCAGAATCTCTCCTAGTTGGGGCCGGGGAACTTGTCCGCAAACTGCAGTTGCCGTCTGATTTTACTTAGATTGTGTTTATTTGGGGTGTCTGGAGTCGAAAGGGAGGAAGATTTGGGGGAGGTGAAAGCTCGCCACCTCTTTGCATCGCCTGACCAGAGCCAAAGACAACGGCATGGAATGCTAGAACTGACATTGACCATCCAGCAAGGTCGCCAGGCAAGGCGGGGAAGGGCAGAGAGGGCTCAGTGTCATTATTTACTGCAACTAATTCGTCCTAGGTTCCTGCCCTCTAAGATTCTGGGTGACTCTTTTGACAGCTGTTTCTGTCGCTCCAATGACACAATTACATCCCCTCCCCTGCTTGGTCCTACAAGATCTATCCTTGCCTATCTTCCCAGTCACATCTCCTATCTCACCTCCCTGGAACAGTACTTCCCGCCATTTTTTTCCCTCTTCCTGCCCTTGCATGGAACATTCCCTCTAAATCTTCACATGGTTACCTTTTTCTCTTTGTTCAAGCCTTAGTTTAATGACACCTGTATTAATTTCCTAGGGCTATGGCGGCACCTGGCTGGATCAATCCATAGAGCATGCAACTCTTGATCTCAGGGTTATGAGCTCAAGCCCCACATTGGTCACCCAGCCTACTTAAATTAAAAAAAAAAAAATTCAGGGCACCTGGGTGGCTTAGCCTGTTAAGCGTTGGACTCTTGATTTCAGTTCAGGTCATGAGATCAAGGTTTGTGGTATCTCGCCCAGCGACAGGCTCTGTGCTGTCAGTTCAGAGCCTGCTTGGGATTCTCTCTCCCTCTCTTTGCCCCTCCCCACTCACTCTTGCTCTCAAAATAAATAAATATTAAAAAAATTTCCCTAGGGCTGCCTTAACCACAAAGTGCGCTGTTTAAATACCACCAACTGAGTGGCTTAAACAATAGAAATATATTCTCTCACAGTTCTGGAGGCTTAGAAGTGTGAAATCAGGGTGTCACCAAAGACATGCTCTAACTGTGTAAAATCTTTCCTTGCTTTTTTTCTGGCTTGTGGTGGCACTCAATCCTTAGCATACCTTGCCTTGCAGCTTAATTTCTCCATTCTCTGCCTCTGTTGTTACATGACCTTCCCTGTGTGTCCTGTCCTAAGGACCCCAATCTTTTTTTATATATATTTATTTTTGAGAGAGAGCACGCACGAGTTGGGGAGGGACAGAAAGAGTGGGAGAATCCCCAACTCTGCTGATAGCTCAGAGCCTGACATGGGGCTCAGTCTCACAAAACATGAGATCATCCCTGAGCCCAAATCAAGAGTGAGATGCTCAAATGACTGAGCCACACAGCGACTCCTCTAAGGACACCTATCTTATTAGATTTAAAGGTCACCCCTCCTCCAGAATGACGTCATCTAAGCTTAACTAATTACATCTACAAAGACTGTTTCCAAATAAGATCACATTCTGAGGTAGTGCGTGTTAGAACTTTAACATACCTTTCTGGGGGATACAACTTAAACTGTAACAACACCTTTGAAAAAAGACCTTTCTTGAATATCCAGAGCTTCATGCCTCCTCCCAGTGATTCATAGGTCACCTGCCTTATTTCCTTCATAAAAGTGTTTGTCTCCATATTGGTTGGTTGTATGGGTATATATACCTCCATGGGTATATAATCTGCACAAGATCTCAGGGATCTTGTCTTTGTCATGGTCATCATTGTATCCCCAGAGCTTGGGACATAGTAGGCTCTTAATAAATATCTGTTGAAGGAATAAACTCTGATCATTTCAGGTGGTTCCTTCCACGGCCTCAGGTAGCTGTCCTTACATGCAGGTTGACCAGCAAGCTGACTGCTGGAAGGGGTTTGGTGGGCCTCTGGATTCTCTGTGTGCACCTGTTTCCTCTCTAGATTCCTACCTCCTTGGTCCTCCTGGACCCTTAGCTCTATCTTCTCAACTCTGGGGGTCTACCAGGCTTCACCAGGGGTCCCCTTTCCTGCAGCATGGCCTAGAAACTCTCTCAAGACCATAAGTGAGGTAATGGTAGGAATAACCCCTACAATTTGTTTCCTGTCTCTCAGTGACCACTATTGTCTGTTGACTGATGTCCAATGTATTGAAAGAAAAACATCACATCATATATATTTTCCTCATTTTTGGTTGTTTCAGGTGAGAAAGTATATCTGGGCTGTGTTACTCTACCTAAGTCAGAAGTGAAGTGAGCATAATGGATTTGGGATCCAGTGATTACTGTGTGCACCAATACTTCACTTTTTTTCCCCTTCTGGTGAGTATATTTCATTGTATGATCAATTGTTTATCCATTTCTTATCCATTCACTGATTGAGGGACCTTTGTGTTGTTTACAGTTTGGGTTGATTATGAATAAAGTCACTATAAACATTTATGTTATTTTTTAAATTAAGATAAAGTTGATTTTACATTAAAATCTAAACATTTAAATTTAATTTAATCTTTTAGAGTAATCTCTATGCCCAACTTGGGGCTCAAATTTACAACCTCAAGATCAAGAGTCACAGACTTGGGGCAGCTGGGTGGCTCAGTCAGTTAAACATCCGACTTTGGCTCAGGTCATGATCTCACAGTTCATGAGTTCGAGTCCAGCATCAGGCTCTGTGCTGACAGCTCAGAACTCGGAGCCTGCTTCGGATTCTGTGACACCCTCGCTCTCTGCCCCTCCCCCACTCATGCTGTGTCTCACTCTCTCTCAAAAAATAAACGTTAAAAAAAAAAAAAAGAATCGCAGGGGTGCCTGGGTGGCTCAGTCGGTTGAGCGTCCGACTTCAGCTCAGGTCATGATCTCGCGGTTTGTGGGTTCGAGCCCCGCATCGGGCTCTGTGCTGACAGCCAGCTCAGAGCCTGGAGCCTGTTTTGGATTCTGTGTCTCCCTCTCTCTCTCTGCCCCTCCCCTGCTCACGCTGTCTCTCTCAGAAATAAATAAAAAACATTACAAATAAATAAAAATAATTTTAACAAAAAGAGTCGCAGACTCTACCAACTGAGCCAGACAGGCACCCCTAAAATCCTAACTTTTCTTTTGAAAAAAATGGGAAAATCTGGTCATACTGGGCTCACATTCCTGCATGGCAATGGGCTGGAACAGAATAAAGATAACTTCCCCTTCACAGTGGGCTGGCCAGAGGCTACAGTCCTCTCCATTCTCAACTATATTGCCCCAGATTACTTCATGTATTTTTATGAGCTGTAGTCCTCAGAGACATTTGAATTTGAGACTCCTGATATGTCATGAGGATTGCAAAACCATATAAGTCACTTAAATGGTAACAACAACAACAGAAAAAGGTTTATTTAACTGGGATTAGTGGAATCAAAAAGGAAACACAGGGCTCTGAAGGATGAGTGAAGTGTCACCAAGTAGAGAACTGGGGAAGATGCCCTTTCACTTCTGCTTGCAATTACTCAATCCAAGCAGGTCCATTTGCCGGAGGCTGCCTGTGGGCAGGAGAGGCTGGCCCTGCCCCCCAGGGAGATGTGGGCAGATGCACCTTATCTGCAGGCTGGCCAGCAGTCAGGCTGCAAATCTAAGTGACTGTCCTCTCTCTGTGGGGTCAGGACTGAGTATGCATAATTCACAAGCCCTTTTGTAGATGGCAGGGGCTGGCCACCCCAATTGGTGTAGCCAGTGGGTGCCAGCAGTATCAGATCTTACCTGAATGCCACCCTGTCCTGGTTCTTGCCCAAAGTGCTTTCAGACTCACTCATCAGCTCCCTGGGATTAGATTTGGCTCTTCTTAGGGACTTCGATCATGAGGGTAAGAAAGTGTGTTATCCTCCTCACCCTTGCTCACACAAACCAAGGGGAAATCTCTCCTATTGGTTCTCTTTAAGACACTCTACATAGGAACCTGCCAGTCTGAGACTTTGTACAAGCAGCTGGGAAGAGTCATAAAAGTAGCAAACACATAGCAAGCACTCATTTTGTGTCTAGTGCTCTTGTATACACTTTATGTATATGCATTAATGCATTAAGTCTTCACAGCAGCCTTGAGGAAGGACTTCTATTCTCCCTGTTTGACAGGTGAGTATTCTAAGACAGTTTCTCCAACTTAAAAAAATATATTTATTTTGAGAGAGAGAGAGAGAGAGAATGCATGACTGGGGGAAGGGCAGAGAGAGAGGAAGAGAATCCCAAGCAGTGTCTGTGCTGTCAGCACAGAGCCTATCCGGGGCTTGATCTCACGAACCATGAGATCATGACCTGAGCCAAAACCAAAAGTAGGACGCTTAACTAACTGAGCCACCCAGGCACCCCAATTTCTTCAACTTTTATATGATCAAGAACCACCTTTTGAAGATCTTGTTAAACAGATTCTGATTCAGTAGTTTCTAGGAAGGGCCAGAAAGCCTGTAATTCTTTGAGCTCTCAGCCAATATCACTGGTCTGGGGACTATATTTTAAATATCAAGAGTCCAAGTTGCAGAGCAGTGAAGGAACTTACCCAAGATCATCCAGCTACTGGTAGCTGTGTTATGTACACATTACAAGACGCCAAGAGCTAATTCTAAAAAAAAGTCGAAGGAGAACTGAAAATTCCAGGGAATTTTCCTTCATCTGCTTCGCACAAATGCCCTTGCTCAAAATAGTCCCAAAGATTTTAACAAGCAACTTGTGCAAAGATGTTTCTGGCAGCACTTTTTAGATCAGCCACACACTGGAAACATCCCAAATGCCCCACAACAGAGAAACGGTGAAGTAAGCTATATCTAGTTCATTCAATACTATATAGCTGTTGAAATGATCACTATGGGACTAAATGA